ACAACCTATTTAAGCACAAGACAAATGAAATATTCAGATATGGCATATGATCTGTTCTAAGATCTCGACAAAGCATAGCTGGAAAACATGTCTCAGTAGCAACATCAGCTTATGCATCTCTCCTCTCCCCCTCCTCACCATTAATGGGCCAGTTCACCCATCTGTGGAAAAAGAATGATCACTTCAAAATAATTTAGAATATTCTTTGCTTGGGTTTGTTTCTGTTTTGGTTTTTTCTTTCTTTCATACCTGGATCACTTCTAATTCAATTCACCGTGTGGACCTACACACTGTTTAAAAGGCATAATCAAAGGACTGCTTAAATTGGCAATGCCGTGAGGAAGAACAATCAGGCAGCTGTGATCTCCATTCACCCTGCAAGCAAAAGGCACCTAATGATCATACCTAGTGCTTCATCCTCTCCTGGCTCTAGGGGAAGTATACTTTCAACTGCATTAAACTATAATGTCACTTCCTACCCCTAGGCCAGACATCTAAGATAGATGGATGGATGCATGCTTTGATTTAAAGCATTCATTTTAAGTATCATTTAAAGTAAAACTTTTTTGATTTTAAATTGCCCACTTTTAAATTCAGACATAAAAATAAAAAAACCTCGTTATTTAGCTCATTTTCCTAAACAAACACTAAATACCTCACTCATAAGAATTAAAGAAAACTAACTTTATTTTTAAAAACTTACTACAGTGATGTAATTTTAGTGAAATTAATTAAATGCCAGAAACGGCCAGCTTATGTCCCTTAGCATTTCAGAAGCGATGGACATTTTCTTAAAAGAAAGAATCTCTAAATCAGATTTCATTCATTACATTCAATTTATTTAGATATAAAGCGTTCTACTAGAGCTGCAGTCATGGTTTCTGTTATCAAAGTCTAATTTCATGTTTTAGATTCTTAAGTACTTAGCAGTGAATTTGTTTAGAACTCTGATGGTAATTATATACTGATTTAATACAGGGTTTTAGTTGTTTTAATGGTAGTAAATTTAGCCAACAGTTTGCTGCGGCTTCCAATTAAATATACTTTTTAAGAGTTTGCTGATTTAAATAGTATTTATTTATTCTGGACACTACAGTCAAGCTGGCTTTGCATAACTAAGCAGATGAAATAACATGCAATTTCAATCACAAGTCAAAATAATATATCACAAGTCAAAATAATATATCACAAGTCAAAATAATATATCACAAGTCAAAATAATATATCACAGTCCAAACCAGAGACAAAAATTTAGGAAATGTTTGGGTTTCTCTGCCTTACTAGTAAGGTAGTAGCTAGAGACATCAGGCAAACTAGAAAAGGCAGCAAGGAACAGGTTAAAAAAAAAGTTTATTTTCTGGAGGAACAAACTCTTAACTGAAGAAAACCTATGGCCTACCATTTGCTTAGTCTATTGTTCAAGGAAATTGTACTTTAGGGAATACGCATAAACTGAATAACAAAGGAAGAACACCTATCATCGAAGAGGAACATTCAACAAGTTTGTGAATTCCGCTTAACTTCTAGCTTCCTTGTAGTAATCAGAACCTACACCAGTAGTGAAATAATCAGGAAGTCTGATGAGAAAAAGGAAGCCACATGATGAAAGAACACACTGACAACTAGTAACAGTACTGCCAATTGCCTTAGAGGTTAAGCAAGGTTGTTTAACGTTTGCTGTTAAGCACAGATCTCAAAAACCTTCATTAGATTTGTCAAAAGCAGTATCCACAAAAAGTGAGCAGAAGGATCAAGCATGTTTCTTTAAAGCTCGTTCTAACTGCACCTACTTTGAGAAACTTACACTACACTGTCTAAGATCAAGTCTCAGGGATCATCTACCTGAACATAACACCTAACAGCATCCTTACTACCAAACATTTTATTTAAAACTATCGAACTGCAAGTCTTTCACAGTATCTCAATCTAGAGCCTGCTAAGAGCCCTTAAATTAAAGACCAAGTCTTTGACTCACAGAAGTCACCTCAAAAATTGTGACTGTGGGCAAATTTTGCAGTCAGCTTGGAAAGAGAGATTTCTACTCTCAACTCCGAGACAAGTCTCTGCCCTGATCGAGATCTTTCCTAATCCCTATTTACTTCTCAATCACATACTCTACCAACACTTTCAGTAAGTTGTCTGCAAGTTTTAGACGAGCTTCCCTGAAAGCCTGGAGATGGAGTGAGGATTCAGAGACAAGATAGACGCTATATAGGGATAGCTCCTATTAACAGCAAAAAAACTATAGCTAAAAGCATTACTGTATAATGCACGTAACCCTCAACAACTTTAAACCATTGAAATTTCTACATTCCCAGACAGAGCTTGTTAGGAACCAAAAAAAGGAAGACCAGACCTAATAAGTCATCTTGTCAGTCACCCGGTCAGTCCAAGTAATCAAACCATCTGACATTATTAAGAATTCAATGAAAAAAAAAAAAAAAAAACACAAGAGTATCTAGAGTGGTTTTGTCCTGTTGAGAAGGGGGAAAACTGCAATATGAAGGGCAGTAATGGAGACTCAGTCCATTTGTTGTGTGTGACACATAAGCGGCTGACAATGCTGCCAAAACACATACAAAGACAAAAAGCTCATGTTTCAGTGTTTACCAGTGTTAAAATTGCAGTGCTTACAGTGTAATTGCTTTGGTCACTACTTGCGCAGCCCATAACTCCTACTGCAAAAACACACAGAACTGATGCTTTGCATTTCTGTTGGAAAACTTTTCCTTGAATTTAATTTTTCAAATAAAATGCGCATTGCATACAACTACCACACACATTTAATAAAGCACACTTCACCAGTTTGGCTGTTAAAAAAAAAAATCCTTCCTGGACACAGCAGTTATTTAAAAGTATTCCATATCATGGGTAAATTTACAAGTGCAAGCAGCATCTAGTGAGCAGCATTAAATCAGTGCTACCAAACCCATCACATCAATGCATTTATGCAAACAGATATCCACACTAGTTTAGATGAGTTGAACATCAATTTTAATCAAAAGCAGTGTATCTCCTATGTGAAGATATAGCAGATAAAGTGACAGAAAGCATTTGGAAAACTCAAGAGGAAGGAAAAAATTCTTTCATAGCTTTTGCATTTCCTGCTAGACTTGCCAACTTTTAGCTTTCCTAAGTACAGTCCTACTCATCTAGATATACCAGACTAAATTGCTACTATCATTATTCTACCAATGCACATGACATACTAACAGCCCTCCAGCATAACTGCCTTCGAGATCAACAGAGCAATCCTGAGTACAAACGTGTAAAAAGTGAGTATAACCCTATGTATACACATCCTTTGGTTTGCTGACATCTGTTTACACACTCTCTTCAAGATGCCAGTAGTAGGCAAAGTGTATTATATAGTCTTGACATGTAGAAACATGCTGGGATATGCCAAAGTAACAACCATCAAAGAGCAAATTAATTTTTTATCTGTTAAATACATTACACTAAAGCAACTGAGAAGAGAGGAAAAAAAGATGATCATGATCAAGTAGAGAAAATACACAGTTCTCCTCCTCCTCTTACCTCTGTATACAAAATCTGAGAAAATTAAGGATTAGGGCCACAGAGAGCACTAGCTACCAGTCAACACAGATTTGAAGTTCCAGACGCCTAAACTCTTTCAGTGAAGTCAATCCGCTGGGAAAAAAAAAAAAGGTCTGATAATGCTAGCATCTTTAGCACCATTTTACTGGCCCCAGTTGTGCCTAGCAGTACTTATTTCTTTCCACTCTCTTGAAGAGAAGGATGGACTAGATGACAAGCCTTCCATTCCTCTTGCTTTTGTAAAACAAATAGCAGGTGGTAGATATCTCAATCGCTTCTGATCAAACTGGCCTGCATCAAGTAATAATTACAGATGTACAAAAGTAAGTATAGAAAGACTAGAAATATTTATTGCTTAATTTTATGCTAAAAGGTATGTCCATGTTAATTGTTTGCACCAAGTTTAAAGTTTACTCTCAAAGAAGCTGGTACACTCTTCTTTGTTACACTGCCCAAAGGCAATAAAGCTGATCGAGTTGGAAATCACAGTGGGTAAAAATGAGCATCAGCTTAAACACAAACGTTTGAGAAGCACAGACAACACACAAAAAAACCCTTCTGACTACACAGGTAACAAATTCTGTTTCGAGACTATTAGTACCATAACATTTGGGGTTAGATATAAACAAAGAAAATGTCATTTTAAACCAGCTTCCTCTGGCACTCGTATGCGTGCGAGTGTTCTCCGGAGATCTCAGGAGTTAGAGCCAACTGAATTTCCAAAACCTAAACGCAAAGTCAAGTTTAATCTCGCAACAGACGGTGAAGTAAAAGCCGTTCTTTGATGTATTTCTACCCTGCGAGCCGGCCGATTCCAGCTTAAAGTGGAATCGACAACGGAGGGGTCAGTTACCAGGCTCGAGTTTGTATAGCTCATCAGAGTTCTTCCGTTCCTTTTTTCCGCGACTCACGGCCGCACATGACTGTATGAACAGCCCGGGGCGCGAGGCTGTCGCGACACGAAGAACTGTCGTGCGGCTGAAGGCGCTCGGCCGGGGAGCGCGCCCGCAGCGAAGCCCCGGCCCGGCCCAGCGGGGCCCCGCCGCCCCCCCGAGCCCCGCCGCCCCCCCGAGCCCCCGCTCCGCGGACAGGCGGGAGGAACTTCAGCCGCCCAAGCCCCAACCGCCTCCCTGCCCGCTCCGCCCGCGCTGCCCAGGGGCCGGGGCGGAGGGGGGGACGTGCCCCGCTCCTGCGCCTCTCCAACGGGCCGCGGCGAAGGGACTCGGGCACCAGATACCCCCGAGTTACCCGCCGCGGCCCCGCGGCGATGGCGGGGGGGTGAGGGGAGAAGCAGCGGGGCCGCCCGCGACCCCCGAGGGGCGGGAGAGTCCGGCGGGGCCCGGCGGCGGGAGCCCGCGGGGAGCGAGGGGGTCCCGCCTCGCAGCTTCCCCTCCAAGAGAGCTCCCACCCGCGGGCGAAACACCGAGGCCGCGGCGACCCACCGAGAGCGGAGCGGTTGCCCAGCCAGGCAGCCGTCGGGCCGAGCGAGGGAGCAGCCGGCGGGGGGGCGCCGCCCGTCGCTAGCGGAGCCATGCCCGCGCTGGCAGCCGCGCTGCCGCCGCCCGCCCCCGGGCCCACGGGCGGCGGGGCGCGCCCTGCCCGCACGGCGCCTGCGTGGGGCCGCCGGGGCGGGGCCGCGGCGTCCCGCCCTCCGTGCGGCGGGCGCGGCGGCTGTGCCGGGGGCTGCTGAGGGCCGCGGCGTGGCTGTGACGAAGCGGGAGGGCGTTTCTTACGCGCTGCTGTGAGGATTTTTTTTCCACGGGTTGTCCCCCACCTCCCCCAGAAGCAGTTTAATGTCGTTCCCAGGCGTTCTGAGCCCGGCCAGCCCCCCCGGCCCCCTCAGCACAACGCTGGGGTTCAGCTGGGAGGCAAGATGGAGACGAGGCGTCGTGTCCTAAAGGACCCGGGGTCAGGCTGAGCTGCCTCCTCGCCTCAGTACGCGTCGTGTGCCGCAATGGCTCCCCAGCACCTGGGGTGCTGTGCCACCCTCGTGGGGTTGCGGGGGTCCTCTCAGCCTGGCGGGTTTCGGCGGGTGCTCCCCTTGTGCCGGGAGCATCTGCTGCCAGGGCACAGCGAGGCACAAGGCGGTACGGCGGGGACCGTCGCGCTGCACCGGGGGCCCCAGACACCCGTGGGGACTCTTGTTTGTTACAGAGCTGCACTGAAGCTATTTCAGGCAAGGGCAGGGCTGCATCCTTCGGCCTTGTGGAAGTCGCCGCCACCACCACTGCAGCGTTCGCACCGTGGCTCGCAAGTGTTCAGAAACTAGGTATGACCCTGCATTAGCTGTCCCTTGGGGCCTGGGGACATTGCTTACCCTCACCCTCTTCCCATGCACGGGGCCTCAAGTTCGTGCTTTGTTCCTTAATTCTTCACAGCTAAACTCCAGTTTGGATTTACGCTCTGGCAAACTAATTCCTTAGCAGTCCCAACCTTGGACCAGTTTGTACTTCAGCATTGGCAACTGGAATTTTCTACTGACATGGCATGAAACTAAGTTATATTCTTATATCAAGGCAGAGGCAATTACAGCTTCCCTGTAGTTCCAAATATATTACTCTATTCTAACCTAAATAATTTATTTACTTGCTTTTACTCATTTTAAATACCCAAGCAAAAAACATCATTCATTTAAGAAACAATATTGCTATGATTATGAAGGCAGATACATTCTTAAATGATTTTATCATCTAGTGCCAACAACGTGTGCAGAAATATCCTTATCAGCCACTGACTAGAGCTGTCTGCAGCTAGATTCAGTATACCAGATTGCCACCTTTTTGTTTGGGACAATCAGCCCATCTGGTATCTCCTCCCCCTGCCCCCCCAAGACTTCGTTTCTGGTGAAGAAAATACCCAGAAAATTACGTCCTCAAAAATAGTACCATCAGTGCACTTGAAAAAGATAAAATGCTCTGGAAATAACCAAAGTTTTAACCCTTTTTGTCTGTGCTTGGCTGTCAGCTATATTCATAGTACAAACTGTAGCCACTATTTTCTATAAAATTATTTTTTTCAGAGATACAAGTATGAAAAGATCAGGATGATTTAGTACCTGAGATAAACATGTTGACATGCAAAAAGTAAAAAATCTGTCTTTTATCCTTTTGGGCACAAGTGAAAAAGGCCTTTCCAGAGAATAAGCATTTTCTGAGCCTAGTGACAGAGCACTATTGATTGTTTAGATACTTGTTTACATTTCCATTTTTAGCATCTATTTGTACCATGATTTTACAGTTCCTTTCACAATTCAAAGTTGAGTCCTGATAGAAGCAAATTCTGAAACACTTTAGCTGAGTTTAACTGTTATTTGCTCACCAGCAGCATCCAAATAGAAAAGTCAGTACAACAGTCCTGAGACTAGATGACGTAAGCTATCAGAAACAGTTATAGCATAGATAATAAAAATAAAATGTTCAAAGCTCAATTAAAATAACCCCTCTAAAACTACAGAATAGAGGACATAAGCAGAATAATTAGGGTTTGTTGATTTTTTTTTTATTTTGGCAAGTTTAACTTGTGTATCAAATCAAATGCTCAGACTGAAGGAGTTCAGGAATTTAATGAATATAATGTTTATAACTGGAAATGCATCTTCTCAGTCAAGTAAATAACCAAGAACATGAAATCTCAGATTTCTTCTTATTTGGAGAATTGGTGGGAAACTTATGTTTTTATTAACAAAGAAAACTAACAAGGAATGAGCAGAACTGTCCTTTTCAACAGAAGAGGAAGTCAAGCAGCAGGAGGCTGGGTTCTTCACACTTACAAAAGCAAGTCCTTCCTCTTGGGTTTTCTACAGAAAGTACTGCTGCTCATCCGAGTTGCCTCTGCTCTGTCTCTTAAGTTTTGATTTATAATTTTCTTGAGTGTGTGGTTCTGTGTCAACTGCACTTAGTGTCGTAAAGGAGACGGACTTGGGGAGAGGGGGAATCCTCCTTTTCTCTTTGGTTATGTGTAGCACTGCGATTCCCAACTCACAGGTAACTGCAAAATTCAGCAGGATTTCTGAACCAAATCTGACTCCGTGAAACAAGCTCTCCAGAGGTAGGCTTTATCTCAGAGTCTCCGACTTCAGAAAGATTGTACTTAAAAAAAACCAAACCAACTAAACAAAAAACAAAAACAGATTATTAGAAAACTAATCTAAAATGGGTTTACAACACAGCCCACAAGCAGTGAATCAGCGCAATTTCTGAGGCAGTAACTTCCTGCCCTTCTTCACTCACTGGAACCAGCACCCCTGGGCACAGGGCAACTCTTAAATCAGCTTTGCCACAAGAAAATCTGTGAAACTACCTGCCAGCTTTTACAGAAACCAATAAACCTCAAAACACTATAAAGTTTCCTTCATAGACTCAAAACTAAGTTGTAATGAGGTTTAGTTGACCTAGTCTATGTCAGTTGTTTCCTCAAGATTTCTAAAATGTATCTCAGTTTGTTCCTATTAGAGAACGCAATGAGTTAGAAAACGTGTAAGCAGTTTTTCTAATGCAAGCCAGTCAAGGAGTTTTCTTCTTTAAGTAGTCTTTGGGTTTACCCACTACTAATTCTTGACACTTCGTCTCAAAACCAGATTTAATTATCTTAGTTTGTACTTCGTTTGTGCATGCACTTTGAAGAGTGTATGTTTTCCCTCTTTTTATATGTATTATTACGTATTTCTGCATTCCCCTTTGAAATCCTCAGTACTGTTACTGGAAATCTGGAAAATATGTATGCCTTTCTTTGTCATTCATAACTAAGAAGCAAGTAGCTTTTGCTTGGTATTTCTCTGTTATTTTATTTTGAATCACACATTAATTTACGTATTATTCGGAGGATGTCCTATTAATTAATTTACCTAATTTTTCCTTTTTTGTTTCATTGTTGACTTTCTTTATTGGAAGACTTTTTCTGGATTTCATTTTTATTAGTAAAAATGCCCGAACAGGGTAGACAGTGAACAATCCTTATTTGTAAATCTTACAGAAAGAAAAAACATTGGCAGCAGTAAGTGTAATACAGAGAACCTAAACCTATTGCTTTCACATCTTAAGCGACATGGTCTTAAACTTCAAAACAGTGACACTGGAAGTGTCAGATTATCAAGCCCTTTTATGTGACTTAACAAGATACTTTATACCGAACTTGAAAATCATTAAGCACGATGCTAATTCCACAGTTATTTTTATATATATATTTAATTATGTATTAAAAAATCTCTATTACGTGTATGCACAAAAACCTCAGTGTAGAGCTGACAAATGCTAGTGCTAGTAAAGCTTGAACATACGAAATTCCCTTTGAAATTCAAATGGTACATATTCCCACATAATTTAATTTCTCAGTGTTATTACTGAAATCACAGGTAAGACACAGGCTTCTTTGTCCCTGTTTTTTAAGGGTTCTTTCTAAAAACGTTCTTTGTATGTATTATCTATACATTCAAGGCAAGAATGCTTCCAAAACATTTTAAAGTTGCCTCCAAATACCAGCAGTATTTAAAACACTCATATATATCAATGAAGCACTCTCTGATAGTGGTAACTCACCTGACAGTGGTTTACTTTACAGGTCAGAATGAGCAAACTAGTAATGAAGTGTTAAAAAAATATTAACTTCAGGAGTTGGGATGATGAGGAAGAAGCAAAATAATTTGATGAGTAAGATGCCAGGTAACTCAAGTTTAATTACTGGCTTTCTGACAGACTTGGTTTTTTACATATTCATAAGCTCATTCATAAAACAGCTATTACAAATCTCTGTAGGACTGAGGCCACTTCTTAGTATGTGTGTCTACAATCTGAAGACTAGGAAAACTCATGTACTTGTTTATGACAATTTATATATTACAAAGTAAAATAAAATACATGGACCCAGACAGTATAACCTACCTTGGTATACTGGTTTTGGCCGTGTGGTGCTTAGCTGCCTACTGCAGTTAAACCATGACATTTGGAAACGATACCTCTAACTCAAAGCAGCTATATTCATCAAACCTTTAGTCAATAAAAAGTTGTAAGGAACACTCCCAGCAACCTGTTTAAAAGCTAAACTCCTAATTATTATTTTCCACTTTGCCCAGTATGCAGCTGTTTCTGGTGATGAAAGTAAATGTATTTGAGAGCTATTGGCTTATATGGAAAAAATAGTCTCTAAAGCATAACAGAGCTGTAAAGAAAACACAGTTCTGCTGTAAAATTCTAAACTTTATACCTGAAAAGTTGCCCAGTTTTACAATATTTCTGCCTGTCAGGTTGAGAAAATATCAGTCAAGAAACTAAGCTATAAGGGTAGTGTTTTCTAGAAGCAACCTCTCTCCTGCTCCCTCTCTCTCCCTGTCTCTTGTTGTCCCTCTAATGCAATGATCAGTCAGGTTACAAGACTTTCTTTGTAAGCAGCAGTTCAGTTTCAGATTTATTTGTACCTATGTAAGGTCAAGGTTGTGGCTGCCACCTTTCAAGGAAACAGTTTAACAACTGGATTTTTGGTTTGGTCACAACTGTCTCCCCTTTGTGATGGGTCCCACTGATGAGGATAAAATCTGTTTCTTTGGACCAGAGAGAATTAAAAAACATCTGGACTTGATTCTGGAGCCAAGTAGTTATGCTGCTTGCCTGAGGAGAAGAGAGTAAGGTTATAGATGCTGTCCCAAGGGTAGGGCCAATACTTTGCAATCATCTGGATATGGATTGGAAAAAAAAACTGTTGAAAACAAGAATTGGAGCCTAGCACATCCCTCCAGGATGCCAGCCCTTAACATTATAGCAATTGTGGTAGGGAATAAAGAGGGAAGCAGTGCTATTAGCTTTAATTCTTAAAACTGTTGTGGTTGCCGCTACATTTCCTGAGACACCAGACCCTGTTGATATTTGGTAGGTGTTCTCCGAGAATGTCTGGTAGACAGAGCTTTCCTCAGGGGACTGAAAGAGAGGAATATTGATGTTCTGGATTCTGATCAGGTTTAGGCATGATTTGGTGTTAGCTAGGTCCTAACCATCAAAACAGATCTGTCCTCAATGTCTGGGAAAATTTAAAGGCTATGCTGTGGCTCTTAGGAAGCTCAGGTGCTTCACAAGTTAATCAATAGCTTTGGGCTACCTGGAACAAAGGGGAAAGAGAGGATGCTGAGCAAGTACCTAAGCAGCTTCTGAGCTTGACAAGAGGGCTACAGGAAAAGAAACAAAGTCCATCCTATGCTGAAAGGAGTTGTGAAAGAAGACTAGTGGTTTTGCACGTTGTGGAGAACCATATTATGAATACACAACGTAGAGGGTGGCTTGCTTGGTGTGTGGTAGAGGCAGAAACTGAAGTAGCACGAAGTAGACCAAGTCCCTACAGATTGGAGCTTTTTTTCCTGGACTTTATGCTGGCACAGTTGTTAAGGAATTTATCACATAATAGTAAGTAAAAATCAGCATGTAAATACTATATTAAGGTTTTATATTGTAATGCTTATTTTAAGTAAACTAAAAGTGAAGCAAAGATCTACAATACTTATGTGAGCTGGCACAGGCAGGATGCAAGAACAACCACAAAACCACAGATGAAATGCGAAGAGCAAATTTATTCTCGCTGCCTCGTGACGCGGG